AGGGGTTTATCCGACATTCCACGTCTCCTGGGGCGGCAGGGTTCTTCTTTGTGAAGAAGAAGGAAGGTGACCTCCGGCCCTGTATAGACTATCGTGGGTTGAATAAAATCACCATCAGGGACCGCCACCCTCTTCCCTTAATGAGCATGGCTCTGGACGCCACTGCCCAAGCCACACTGTTTACCAAGCTGGACCTCCGCAGTGCATACAACCTCATCCGCATAAAGGAGGGAGAGGAGTGGAAAACCGCTTTCATCACACCCACTGGACATTATGAGTACCTGGTCATGCCCTTCGGCCTCTGCAACAGCCCTGCCGTTTTCCAGCGTTTCATCACTGATGTCCTCCGTGACATGCTGGGTCGTTGGGTTTTTGTTTATTTGGACGACATCCTCATCTACTCCCGCACTGCCGAGGAACACACCCAGCATGTTCGAGCCGTTCTGTCACGCCTCCTGGAGCACGACTTATTCTGTAAACTGGAGAAGTGTGCTTTTCACCAGGAGTCCACCTCGTTTCTGGGATTCATCATCTCCTCCCAGGGCCTGCGCATGGACCCACAGAAGGTTCAGGCGGTCACGCAGTGGCCACTACCCAAGACCCTGAAGCAGTTGCAGAGTTTCCTGGGGTTCTGCAACTTCTACCGCCGGTTTATCCGCAACTTCAGCGCCCTGGCGTCACCATTAACTTCTCTGACGAAGACAACCAATCAGCCTCGCCCTTTCCGCCTCTCCCCGGAGGCCGTTGCTGCCTTCCATGAGCTGGTCCGCCGCTTTGTAAGCGAGCCCATCCTCCTCCACCCGGACCTAACACGGCCTTTCGTTGTGGAGGTGGACGCCTCTGAGACGGGCGCGGGAGCCGTACTGTCACAACGTGGCCAGGACTCGAAACTCCATCCCTGCGCATTCTTTTCCCGGAAGTTCTCTCCTACCCAGCAGAACTATGGGGTCGGGGACCGGGAATTGTTGGCGATAAAGTGGGCCCTGGAGGAGTGGCGACAGTGGCTCCTGGGTACCCCCACTCCTTTTCTAATCTGGACTGATCATCAGAACCTCATCCATATTCAGACCGCTCGCCAACTCAACCCTCGTCAGGCCCGGTGGGCCCTCTTTTTCGAACCTTATAACTTTCACATCGCCTACCGCCCCGGCTCAAAGAACCTCAAGGCGGACGCCCTGTCCCGTCAACACACCCAGGATCCAAGGCCTCCTGAACCGAGGTCCATCCTCCCGACCGAACGGTTCTTGGCCGCCCTGCAATGGCCCCTGGAAGCCTCCATCCGGGCGGCTCTCCCGGCGGACCCGGCACCCCCAGAGACGCCTCCTAACCGCCTTTACGTTCCGGCCGTGTGTCGACAGGAGGCCTTGAGGTGGGGGCATAGTTCACGGCTCGCGGGACACCAAGGCCAGGCTCGTACCTTCCAGTTCCTCCGCCGGGCCCTGTGGTGGCCCTCTATGAGAAAGGACGTGCGTGAATACACCGCTGCATGTGACACTTGCGCCCGGTCTAAGTCCACCACCCAACCTGGAGCCGGGGAATTGCAACCGCTCCCTGTGCCTAAAAGGCCGTGGTCGCACATAGGTGTGGACTTTGTCACGGGGCTTCCCGCTGCCGACCACCTGGACACCATCCTCACCATCACCGACCGCTTTTCGAAGGCTGTGCACTTAGTGGCTATGTTAGGGCTCCCCACGGCTAAGAAAACGGCGGAGCTCCTCCTCGATCATGTGGTGAGGCTCCACGGATTTCCCCAGGACGTGGTGTCTGACAGAGGGCCTCAGTTCATCTCACGTTTCTGGAAGGCTTTCTGTCGGTTGGTGGGCGCTTCCGCCAGTCTGTCGTCAGGCTATCATCCCCAGACTAATGGTCAGACGGAGAGAGCAAACCAGCAGCTTGGGCGTTACTTACGCTGCTTCGCCTCGTCTCAACCGTCCACCTGGCCTCGTTACCTCCTATGGGCGGAGCTCTCTCACAACCTCCAGACGTCCTCCGCCACGGGTCTATCGCCCTTCGAGACCTGCTACGGATACCAGCCCCCTCTTTTCGACCATCAGGTGCCGGAGGTGGAGGTTCCGGCGGCTCAGGATATGGTCCGCCGCTGCCGTCTCGCTTGGATCAGGGCTCGCGCCGCCATCACCCGGGCTAATACGGAGTACTCCCGACAACACCGCCGCCGCCACCGGCCCGGCCCTGTGTTCCAGCCTGGTGACCGGGTTTGGCTCTCTACCGCAAACCTCCGGTTTCCGGCTGGTTCCAGGAAGCTGTCGCCTCGCTTTTTGGGGCCCTTCCCAGTCCGAGATGTCCTCGGTCCGGTCGCTTACCGGCTGCGCCTCCCTTCCACTCTTAAGGTGCACCCGGTATTCCACGTCTCACAGCTCAAGCCGGTGGTGTCTTCTCCTCTCCATCCGCCTCCGGCCCGGGTGCCGACGCCCCGAGATGTCGATGGGGACCCCGTCTACACTGTCCGCAAGATTCTGGACGCCCGCCGCCGGGGCCGTGGATGGCAGTATTTGGTGGACTGGCAGGGTTACGGTCCGGAGGAGCGTAGCTGGGAGCCTGCCCGCTCGTTTCTGGATCCTTCCCTGTTGGCTGATTTCTGGTCTCGTCGCCCTGGGCCTTCTGGAGCCGTCCCTCGCGGGGGGGGGGGGGGGGGGGGGGGGGGGGGTCCTGTCATGAACTCCTCCTCTTAACCTCCTCTGCGGGCCTGGCTGGCACTGCACTCCAGTTCCCAGCATGCCTGTCACCGACGCTTCCCGGTGACGTCATCCCGCTGAGCCTATTTAAGGACCTGTCACAGCGGAGCCGGCACTCAGTCATCATCTAACGATAGACGCCAAGCCATTCTAAGACCTAAGACACTAACTCTACGAACCATACGGGAAGAGAACTTCCCACGCTGCCACATATCAGTCTCCATCCACCATTCACTCCGCGCCTGGGTCTCATAACCACTCCAGCTCAGCCCATCGAACCTGACATCATGTCGCTACAATAAAACAGAATATCCTAGACATTTTTTAAATAAATGTGGTGATATAGTGGACAATAAACAAGAAGTTGCTGAAGAATTTAACTATTATTTTGCTGATGTTGGTAGAAGTCTGGCCAAACAAATTCCAAATTGTGATAAAAAATGAAATTTGTTTGATCACCTTATTAATGATAATAAAGATTCATTCTTTTTGGGAAGGATCACCGACGGTGATATAATAGAAACTGTTAGAAAACTTGAAAATAAGAAATCCACTGATATTAATTTTATTTATACATTCATAATTAAAGAGGTCATTGATTTTATTGTAAAACCTCTGACTTTTATTTGTAATTTATCATTTCAAAAAGGTGTTTTTCCAAACAGCGTGAAAATTGCTAAAATAAAAACCAATTTTTAAAAATGGAGACAAACATTGTATTGATAATTATAGGCCAGTGTCCCTACTTCCTCAATTCTCAAAAATATGAGAGAAATTATTAGCAAAACAGCTGGATCGTTTTTAGCACCACATATCCGGTATTTCAAATTAAATGTTTTAGCAGAATTTATCTGTCTAGTGCAAGTTTCTCAGTTGCCAGAATTTCACAAATATTAAGAAGGAAGAAAACCAAAAACATAATTGACCATCCAAAGGACCAATGATAATGCAGCTGGGTTTTAAATAAAGTTTTACTTTAATAAAATGTATTTAACTCATCATTGCAAAGTCCCACAGCATTCTGCATTGAATTAATGAGCCAAATGTGTTTTGGTCCATCAAGCTGTTACGAGGTGGTTGATCTAAGGATGTCCAGAACCAGGAAAATTGGAAAAAGTTTTTTTTGTTTTTGTTTCTACAAACAACTTAAATTAAATAAACATGATTCAAGCTTTTATCATTAAAAGTTACTCAGGAGTTTTCAAATTTGTATTTTGATAACTACTTCACTGAAGTTTTAACAACGAATAAACTATTTTTAATAAGCTTCACTGACAATTGCATATTTTATATATAACAGTTAAACAGTAGAAGCTTCAAATTGCAGCAGGCGTGAATCTGTGGTGTTCAAGTCTGCAGGCTTGAATCTGCAGTTAGTCTTGAATCTGCAGTTGCAGTTACATGTTGATCCTTTAGAGGGCGCTGTCTCAAACAACAGTACAAGCCTGAATCAGCAGTCGGCCTGAGTCTGCGGTCTCCGGGTCTGCAGGCTGCAGCTATATACTAGCCTAGTGAACTAGACCAAATTCTTGCTTTGCAAAGTTTGTATATATTCACATATATGGTCTGACTTTCCAGGCTAGCGACATACTAATGCCTGTGCCCCCTCGGACCCTCCCCGCCCCGTGCTACAAGCTGGTGCCAACTGTACTTGACTGTACTTGCGTGAATCGGTGAGTGGAGTAGTGATGTGTCGGTCACGAACGAACCGGCTCTAAGAGCCGGCTCTTTGAAGTGAACGACGGGAGCCGGCTCATCATTGGGAGCCGTCCCCCCCCCCCCCCCCCCCCCCCCCGCCTTGGTGAAAGCTACAGGCGATTGGTCAACATGTGTAACTGTGTGTCCAGACTGTCCACACACAGAGCAGTAGGGGCGGGGAAGAGGGAGGATCATACTCAGACAGACACACAGCAGAGCACATGTGGGAGGAGGGAGACGAGAGGGAATGAGGAGGAGGAAAAAGGCAAGCGAGAGGGAGGAGAGCGCGACGAGGACGGTGAGAAAATGAGCGTCCGCAGTCGGAAAGTGGAGATTTCTTAAAGTGTTCAGTTATTAAATCCATAGAAATGATAAATATTTGATATATTGCTTTTTTTACATTAGTAAATTATTTTACATATAGTTTAGCATTACTTTGGTTATAAATGTACTCTATGCAACAGAAAATCTGAGGAGCCACTTGGGAGCCGAAAGAGCCAGCTCTTTTTTGGTGAGTTGAGCCAAAAGAACCGGCTCTCTAAAAGAGCCGGAATTCCCATCACTAGAGTGGAGGCTGGCTTTAGCAGCGACGGTTTACTCCTACATACAATAGCCAATCAGAGGCCAGAAAGGCGGAACCTTCCTTGGTCTTCCTATGATTGCGTCAGCTTAATGTGTCTGTGCTGCTGTTAGCTAGCTTTTCTCCGTCCCGTTCTTTCTCCCAGGCCAAAATATCAACCAGTGGACTTAGAATAATGCATGCTCAGATATGTAAGCACCTGGTAGGTAACGTGGAGTAAATGTGACGTTACTCTGTGTGATCGTGAAGCTTTGACATGGTGGACATGATTAGCTCCCCTAGCTGTCTTTTGTTGACCGTCCTTGACCAGTAATTTATCACGGTCGGTGTTCTGACTGGCCGTGTGTGTGCGTCTAATTTTCCTACCGCAGCGTGTTACGACAGTTTCGCTCTTGTTTACAGTATAATAATATTTTATGAGCTAAGTGTCAGGTAAACACAACAAGCAGTAATATAACAATTTCTAGAGGTAGCGCTTGTCTTCAGGTAAACAGCCTGTGACGTAGTAGTCGGTCTGCGCATTTCTCCAAAGTAACACAAATCCACGAGTAGCACGGATAGTCGGAACACCGGTGTTATGTCGATATATGTTCCGAGATCTGTTTCATTTGCACCCAGCTGCAAGTGGAAACGACCCAATCACAAGAAAATACCCTACCATAACCACCATGGCACCAAACATGTATGTTTTGCATAAATATAATTTGTGAAAGTATAATTTGTAGCACAATTTTCATGTTTGTTTCAGGGTTATGCTTTGGGTAAGGTTTGGGGTGGGTTGGGACACTTTTTTGCGAGTGGTTGGCTCAATCTCGCAGCTGGGTGCAAAAGAAACATATCTCGAGGGGGGGGGGGACATATATCGATGTAACACCAGAACCATTCCTGGTGAAGTACAGCCTAGCAGAAACATGTTGTGTACAGTTACCAGAACTAACACCAGGTCTAACAGCAGGTTTGTTGTCTGTGTTCGATAAAGGCACACAAATACCTGTCCAGGACCTACACCTCCTGCCCATCTCTGAACGTACGTATGCTAGCAGGATCTGACCTTGCTGTTTGGACCTGCTTCCTGCGGAGCTAGCTGACCGGTTCTGGTCTGGTTACAGGAGGTGGTGATTGTGAGTGCGGTCCGAACTCCCATGGGCTCCTTCAGAGGGAGCCTGGCAGCAGTTCCTGCCACCAATCTGGGCTCCACCGCCATCAGGGGGGCCGTAGAGAAAGCAGGTGTGTTCAACCTGCTTCTGCTCAACTCAACTTTACATCTAAAGCGCCTTTCAGGCACCAGAGTGCCGACAAAGCGCAGTACAGGAAACCATTTAAAATAACAAGACAAGAATGAAAAACGGGAATTAAAAGACAATTACATCGACATACAAGTGGAATAAACAATGCTCATGGAGCATGGTCCAGGTTTAGATGTGCTGTCATGTAGGAGGGGCATCAGAGCACAGATCTGCATCAGGCAACAAGCTGTATCGAGATGGACAAAGTAATAGTTCAGACGTTATCCTCGTCACGCCAGTGTCACAAAGCACAGACTTGTCGTCCCAGTTAATGTAAGGCAGTGTGTGTGGTTTAGGTGACTCCGGGGTTTTCATTGTGGATCTGTTGTTACTGATACTAGCACCATTCAGCAAATTCATCATAACCTCTTGGCCCTCTTGTCACTGTGCAGCCTTAAATAAGTTATTTATACTTTAAAAAGTAATCATTAAGAAGCTGTTTTCAGCAGAGATCTGTTTGTAAGAAACATACAAAGGTTTTTACAACGTAGTTACATAAATATAAACATGTAACAGAGCAGCAGAGCTGTTGGATGGAAACAAAACAAAAACATGTCAATATTTCATCGTTAAATATATAATGCTACATTTTAATCGTGTTAAGTGATGCTCTAGCTTCTTTCTAAACTTGTAAAAGGAGTTGATTTTCTACAACTGAAGCCGTGACAGGTGTGTGCTCTTAAACCGGAATGAGTTCTGTAAGGAAAAACACTTATTTAGCCGCGTGTTTTAGTTTATCACGACTATTGCACCACAAATGCTCTTGTCATCTGAAGGTTTCCTTAAGCTGCTTCTCTGTGGAGTCCAGATGAGACTCACATCAGCACCAGGGGCAGCTTCCAGCGTCAGTCATCAGATGTATCCACATTAGAACCTGGAGCTGCTGCCTGGGCCGGTTCCAGATGTTTCTGCTCTTCTCTCCTTACCTGAGCCTGATGTTTGGTGCAGCTAACGCACGGTTGACTTAACGTTTACTGACTTTAGGAATTCCTCCTGAGGAGGTGAAAGAGGTTTACATGGGCAACGTGCTTCAAGCCGGAGAAGGTCAGGCTCCGACTCGGCAGGCTCTACTTGGAGCAGGTACGTTACCCACGCATGGCCTCATTTCTGAAATCTAAGCATCTGTTTCTGTGTTCATGAAGATTTTTGTCTTTCAAACAGAAACATTTAGATGAATACTGATGAAAGAGTAAGCAGGAGGGTCTCAGTGTCTCTGACTTGTGTGTTCAGGTTTGATGCTTAGCACTCCAGCCACCACCATCAACAAAGTGTGTGCTTCTGGGATGAAGTCCATCATGCTGGCAGCTCAGAGTCTGATGTGTGGACACCAGGTGGTTTTAGCTCACACACGTTTACAGAAACAGCAGAGCAACAAGCACACTAGCTCACACTGATGGATGTTTATTTAGAATCCAACCAGAGTTTACATGTGTTGAAATACTTGTCTGATTTCTTTTGAGTAGCCACACAGAAAGGAAGAAAACACCATGAAAATATATACAGTATATACATCTCTAAAGGGGGGCATGGCCACCCCTAGCCTAGTGAACTAGACCAAATTCTTGCTTTGCAAAGTTTGGTCTAGGAACGCTCCACTGGAACCTCTGCAGCCCCAACAGCATTCTGGCTGGCCAATCACAGCTCTCTAGAATCGGATATATGACATCCACAAGCACGCGACAATGTGTTTCAGCTGCTAACAGGCACCAGAATTAAAATTGAGATGAACACATGCATGAGATGAACACATGCATGAGATGAACACATGCATCTTAGATAAGTGGATGAGGGGCCGTGTAAGCCATAATTCACTCTGATACTCTCATACATATATTCTCCTTACACATGCATGCATTCTTCTCATACATACACACATTATACACTCATACACACATATATTCTATGCACACGCTAGGGCTGGGCAATATGGCCTTAAATCAATATCGCAATATATTTAGGATTTCACCTCGATAACGATAACTACCGGTATGCGCAGGAACAATCGTTGTCCACTAGATGGGGCTGTCACGTGTATTACATTGAGTCACATTTTTATGTGACTCAATGTGTTACAGCTTAAAGGGTCATGAACGTTACCAACCTACACACACCTCTTAATTTTTTTTATTGGCGCTGTTTCTGATTAACACACAGAAATTCGTCCTCCTCCTCTGGTCAGGGTGAAGTTCAGCTTGATCAATTATCACGTGCAATCCACGTTAAAATAATAAAGTAACAAAACTCTGCTTTGATTTTTTTCATTAAAAAAAACATGGTTCCATGTCTAGTTAGCTGGAATTGAGGCACGGTTGATGGAAACGCCGTTTCTAACAGGTACCGGTTTGGCCTGGCTGACCTACAGAGGAGTTTGTTCTGAAAAGTTATTTCATGTCATTTTCAGCCATGCTTAGAGTAACATTAGGGAGAGGTGAGGATGATACCGAGGCTCAGGGCAGAACCTTGGCTGTCTGACCACACTCAGAATTGTGACTCAAGGCACACACAGTAATGGGGAGGAATCGCAGCTCTAATGGCTGCCACCGTATCAACACAAAAACGAATGAAATCATCAGATGTCCCATTAGTAGAAGAATGTTGGCAAGTATCAGATGGGTCCAAAACAGAAATCAGAATGCTAAAATGGACATGTGGATCATGAGAACTTTGTGCCACCAGATCAGCAAAAAACTAAGTCTTAGCCTGTTTACAACAAACAGCGCATCCCTATACATTTCTCGGGATCTCTTTTCCATTTTCTTTCAGCCTTCCTACAAACTTTGCAAAGCAAGAATTTGGTCTAGTTCACTAGGCTAGGCCGTTGTAGTACACTAAACTCATCGTCATGTTCAAGAAACCAATTTGAAATGATTGGAGCTTTATGACATGGTGCATTATCCTGCTGGAAGTAGCCATCAGAGGATGGGTACATGGTGGTCATGAAGGGATGGACATGGTCAGAAACAATGCTCAGGTAGTCCATGGCATTTAAACTATGCCCAATTGGCACTAAGGGGCCTAAAGTGTGCCAAGAAAACATCCCCCCACACCATTACACCACCACCACCAGCCTGCACAGTGGTAACAAGGCATGATGGATCCATGTTCTCATTCTGTTTACTGACTACCGTTTGAATGTCTCAACAGAAATCGAGACTCAACATTTTTCCAGTCTTCAACTGTCCAATTCTGGTTAGCTCATGCAAAATGTAGCCACTTTTTCCTATTTGTAGTGGAGATGAGTGGTACCTGGTGGGGTCTTCTGCTGTTGTAGCCCATCCGCCTCAAGGTTGTGCGTGTTGTGGCTTCACAAATGCTTTGCTGCATTCCTCGGTTTTAACGAGTGGTTATTTCAGTCAAAGTTCAGTCAGCCCATTCTCCTCTGACCTCTACCATCAGCAAGGCATTTTCGCCCACAGGACTGCCGCATACTGGATGTTTTTCCCTTTTCACACCATTCTTTGTAAACCCTAGAAATGGTTGTGTGTGAACATCCCAGTAACTGAACAGATTGTGAAATACTCGGACCGGCCCGTCTGGCACCAACAACAATGCCACGCTCAAAATAGCTTAAATTACCTTTATTTCCCATTCTGACCTTCAGTTTGGAGTTCAGGAGATTGTCTAGTCATAGTTCATCTTTAATAAATATGCACGAATAAATGTTCATGAGAGAAAACCATGGTTCTGACAGTGGAAAGGGGTGGGTTAGTCCAAGGAATACCTGGCTTCAAACAAAAATATCCAAGCACAGTCGTTCGTCCAGCTGAAAGTTTGGTTATGAAAAAGGCTGATAGCTGAACCGTAGTCCCTAGAACAGCGGTACAGGCGCAGATCAGAGATCAGAGCCACACTGTAGTCATCGATGCGTCCCAAGACCTGAGCCCTCTGTCCTAACTTTGTGTGTGTGTGTGTAGGACGTGATGGTGGCAGGGGGCATGGAGAGCATGTCCAACGTTCCTTTTGTGATGGCCCGAGAGACGCCACCCTATGGAGGGGTGAGGATGGAAGATCTCATCGTCAAGGACGGCCTCACCGATGTCTACAACAAATTTCACATGGTGGCAATGGAAACATTTTAAAGTTACTCATTTTAAAGTTACTGTAGAATATTCTCCAGCATTTGTTTTCTTACATCTGGGTGTTTGTGGTCTACAGGGAAACTGTGCCGAAAACACAGCCAAGAGCTGCAGCATCAGCAGAGAGGAGCAAGACGCCTACGCCATCAGCTCCTACAGCCGCAGCAAAGCAGCATACGAGTCTGGTGTGCTAGCAAAGGAGATCGTACCTGTTAGCATCCCACAGAGAGGTACCGAGATTATCTGGTTCTTTAAGTAAAGGCTTGAGTCCTAAAACCCCACTGCTAATGTTTCTGTGGTTTTACAGGCAAACCTGATGTGGTGGTGTCTGAGGATGAGGAGTGGAGACGGGTCGACTTCAGCAAAGTCCCCAAGCTGAAAGCAGTCTTCCAGAAGGAAAACGGTAAAGACAAAAAGCATCATACTGTGTTAAAGGTTACTAAACAGATCCGATGAATCATTGGCTCTGTTCCCTCTAACTTTTAATCTCTTGATAACAGTTATTTTTAACTTTCCTTATTGAGCCTGTCTGGTTGTTTTTAGGCACGGTAACGGCAGCCAACGCCAGCACGCTGAACGATGGAGCTGCTGCTCTTGTTTTAATGACTGCTGATGCTGCAAAGAGACTCAGCGTTGCTCCTCTTGCCAGAATTGTCTGTGAGCACAGAATCCTCCGTTCTGTTAGCTAGACGACCTGTTCACTCATGACTGATTTCTCATGGACTTCTTTTGTTTAAAGCTTTTGCTGATGCTGCGGTTGCCCCTATTGATTTCCCAATCGCCCCTGCATTTGCAGTGCCAAAGGTGGGTATGAGGATGAAATCTTTGAGTCTAATATTATCTACTGAAGGATCCAGAACCCTGTGGTCCTGACCTGTCTGATGTATGAACCTCTGTCAGGTGTTGAATGCTGCAGGGCTGAAGAAGGATGATATCTCCATGTGGGAGATCAATGAAGCCTTCAGTGTGGTTGTGCTAGCCAACATCAAGATGCTGGATATCGACCCCTCAAAGGTCAACATCAACGGAGGAGCGGTGTCTTTGGGACATCCGATTGGGTAGGTGATAGGTTAGGGTGGTTTTCATTCTCTAAAGCACTGCACCTTTCTCAGGTGACCCTAGGTTCATGTTTTCTAGAATGGTGTTGATCTTAAAGACCTTTTCATGGAACTCTTAAACCCCTAAGTACACTAGTCTCCAGAATGATACTAACCTAGGCTTAGCTGACCGTAAACATGGATAAAAGTGTTTTCTACTGAAAGAGCAAGTCACCCCTCCTACTAGAGTTATACTCCATCCACATTTCCTGTTTGAAAAATGCACCTCAAGGAGGTGTTTGCTGAGGGCGGAGCTGTGGCAGCGAGTGATGTTTCTTCCTATTAAATGGGAGTCTTCCTCTCCACTGTCACTACATGCATAAGGGGTTGCTGTAAAAGCTCTGAAACAAGTCAGTGACTCGATGCAATCTGCTGGGTTTACTTAGGTAGTAAACTTTCAGCTAATTGTAATAATGAACATAAGTCAGTGCACTGCTAAGTAGGTTCATTTGGAGTGTTTACTTAGTAAAGTGCCTTGAGACGACTCTTGCTGTGATTTGGCACCATTTAAATAAATAGATTGAATTGAATGTTTACATGTTCAGTTCCACATAACTCAGTTATTTTTGTTATTTGTCAATAGACCGCTACAGCTTATAGGCTTGACTCTCCCATATTCCAGTAGGAATTGACAAAGCTCCTCAGATGAGAAGCGAAACGTCTTCAGCAAACCAAAGAAGTCCAGTTGCCTTCATTTGAACCCTTTGGATAATCATGACCTGGATGACTGAGAACCTTCACCAGGATGCAGAGAAATTCCCAAGATCAGTCTGCTTTGCTAACAAATATAGTTAAATCTTACCTGCATTCTAAGTAAATACCGTCAGGTGAAAGCCAGAATGGCCTCCTGGATCTGAGCCTGTTCTGTGTATTTACCTACAGGATGCAGTAAATGTCTACAAGGCTGAGTTTGGACCATTCCATCCAAGAGAAAGTGTACAATCAGTGATTTTTTTTATTGTTTGTTTATTTTAATATACAAATTTACAAAGTATGAACCTCACAGCAAACAAGAAAAAAATACAAAAGTAAAAAAAATGAACAAAAGTATTTGAATAAGTGGTATTGGACTTTTAGTTCTGTCTCCCCTTTTGGCTTTAGTAGTTAAACAGGCGTTGTGCACACAGGTGCTTTTTGTCCCGGTGCTGGTGGTATCTAGGTCTCAGAGTTTCTGTCCTCCTGCCTCTTCTGTTGTCCTCAGGATATGGCAGGAGTTTCCTGATGATGAGGGAGGGGCAGTATGTGGGCTTCAAACTGGTCCTGGATAAAAATGGGAGACGTAGGCAGGGACCTCCGTTGTCTGATTACTGAGACCAGAGGGTTGGTGGGATGCTGATCTTCTCTACCTCATCTAGTTCAGGGAAAACTTCTCCAAAGACCAGTTCCATGATGTCATCGACATATTCTGCAATGATAGACAATAATTTTAATGTCATATTTTGTTTACAAGCAGCTTTAGGAAAGTTGGTTCTTTAGCTTTGCTGTTTATAGTGACGTTTGTGTTGTGGTGTTTTGGTTCGGTGCGGAGACATGCAACGTCATTATGCGTCGGCGCAAGGACTCTCCAACGGGCTCACAGAGGGTGACAGAGATGTGCCCAAAATTTTAAACATCCGTCAAAAGTGACGGAGATAGCAAGCTTGTGATTGGTCAGGACGCTGCTTCCTGTGAATTTGTCGCCAGCATCGCTGTTGCTCCATTAAAAAGTAAAAAGACATGTGCTCTTTCAATTTCATCAGATGCTTAAACTTTTAAGAATTTCTTTATCAACCTCTTTGAGCCCATCGAAGAGCTCTTGCACCGACACAAAATGGCGTGGTGTGTCTCCGCACCAACGCAGACGAAGAAGTATAAATCAGGCTGTACACACACACACTCACATACACAGCTTTCTTCTTCTGTAGCTTTTTTTTAGCAGTAGTCAGCAGTCTGAGAGTTGCAACTACTGCCACACCACTCTTCCTTAAAGTGAGGCAGTTTTGAGTTTTGTGTAGCTCAAATAATCGGACATTCGGCATTCTTCCAAATGGACTACAAAAATATTAGCTAGAAGAAGATGGAAGCGCTTGACCATATTTGGTAGTAATAGAAAATTTAGAAAACTGAACAGGTTGAAAAATACGACCAAAACGTTTAAAACTTCTAAAAAGCACCTGAAGGGACCTCTTTTTTTTTTTTTTTGCACACCTAGAGACTTCAAATTCCCAACACACTGTATTTAAAGGTGATCTACACTCAACAAAAATATAAACGCAACACCTTAGTTTCTGCTCCGATTTTTCATGAGATGGACTTAAAGATCTAAAATTCATTGCAGATACACAATATTACCATTTCTCTCAAACATTGTTCACAAATCAGTCTAAATGTGTGATAGTGAGCACCTGTGCTTTGCTGAGATAATCCATCCCACCTCACAGGTGTGCCACATCAAGATGCTGATCCGACATCATGAGTAGTGCACAGGTGTACCTTATACTGCCCAAATAAAAGGCCACCCTGGAATATGCAGTTTTTTGCTTTATTGGGGGTCTGGGGACTCAGAACCGGTCAGTATCTGGTGTGACCACCATTTGCCTCATGCAGTGCAACACATCTTCTTTGCATAGAGTTTATCAGATTGTCAATTGTGGCCTGTGGAATTTTGGTCCACTCCTCTTCAATGGCTGTGCGAAGTTGTTGGATATCAGTGGGAACTGGTACACGAGGTCGTATACGCCAGTCAAGCACATCCCAAACATGCTCAACGGGTGACATGTCCGGTGAGTATGCTGGCCATGCAAGACCTGGGACATTTTCAGCTTCCAAGAATTGTGTACAGATCCTTGCAACATGGGGCTGTGCATTATCTTGCTGAAACATGAGGTGATGTTCATGGATGTATGACACAACAATGGGCCTCAGGATCTCATCACGGTATCTCTGTGCATTCAAAATGCCATCCATAAAATGCATCTGTGTTCTTCGTCCATAACAAATGCCTGCCCATACCATAACCCCACCACAACCATGGGCCACTCGATCCACAACATTGACATCAGCAAAGCGCTCACCCACACGACGCCACACACGCTGTCTGCCATCTGCCCTGAACAATGTAATCTGAGATACGTCTGTGAAGAGAACACCTCTCCAACGTGCCAGACGCCATTGAATGTGAGCATTTGCCCACTGAAGTCTGTTACGGCGATGAGCTGGTGTCAGGTCAAGACCCCGATGAGGACGACGAGCATGCAGTTGAGCATTCCTGAGACGGTTTTTGACAGTTTGTGCAGAAATTGTTTGGTTATGCAAACCAATTGTTTCAGCAGCTGTCTGAGTGGCTGGTCTCGATCTTGGAGGTGAACCTGCTGGATGTGGAGGTCCTGGGCTGATGTGGTTACACGTCGTCTGCGGTTGTGAGGCCGGTTGGATGTACTGCCATATCCTCTGAAATGCCTTTGGAGACGGCTTATGGTGGAAAAATGAACATTAAATGCACAAGCAACAGATCTGGTTGACATTCCTGCTGTCAGCATGCCAATGGCACGCTCCCTCAATGCTTGTAGCATCTGTAGCATTTTGCTGTGAAACAAAACAGCACATTCTAGGTTGGCCTTTTATTGTGGGCAGTATAAGGTACACCTGTGCACTACTCATGAGGTCGGATCAGCATCTTGATGTGGCACACCTGTGAGGTGGGATGGATTATGTCAGCAAAGCAGAAGTGCTCACTAGAGGTGCTGAAAAAAACTCGATTCAAGTCTGAATCGAGATTCTTATCAAGTTTTTGTGAAGCGCTTCGTGATTTTTATCTTGAGAGGCGCTATAGAAATTATACTTTTTTCTTCTTCTTCTTCTTCTTCTTATTTATAAAGATTCAGAATCGATTCACAAAGGTCCAGAATCGATTCCAGGAACTCTAATGTTTGGCATGTTACAGGTTTGAGATGCACTTTTGTCTGTTTTTTGTCTTTGTTAGGAGAGTTAGTACTCCGTTTACTTTTGTGGTCCCATAAATTGGGATGATTTATTTTTGAATCTGCTGATAAGTGGGGACTAGAGTGTAACTTTTTCCATACTCAGAAATTTGAGATATTCTCATATTTATTTTCTAAGTTGATAAGTGAGTACTCAGGATTACTCATGTGTTTATTTGAAGTTATTGATAAATGAGAGAAAACATTTTCCTTTGTAAGAAATCTGTGGCACTTTTTTTAAACAGGTTGAGGACTCGAGTGTTAAACTTGTTTCCACAGATACTTAAAAAGTATTTGACTGTACTACTTTCAAAGCTACTGTTAGGTAACTAAAAATTTGTTATATTTTACAAGGTAAGCAAAAATAAATGTTGCCTTTTGGTCAAAAGATTGTTTCTGTTTACAGTTTTAGAATCACTTTATTTTACCTTGTAAATTAGCTTTTTTTTTTTTTTAGCATGACCAGTTTAAAGTAAAATAAAAAATCCCCATAGCTTTAACTAACTTGCACAACAAAGTAGTTAATCCTGGAGCTGACACTCTTTGTTAATATTGACTGTGAATCGATTTAAATCGAGAACTGATTCTGAATCGAATCGGCACCCTGAGAATCGGAATTGAATCAAATCGTGAGTTGCTCTGAGATTCACATCCCTAGTGCTCACTATCACACATTTAGACTGATTTGTGAACAATGTTTGAGAGAAATGGTAATATTGTGTATCTGGAATGAATTTTAGATCTTTAAGTCAGTCTCATGAAAAATCGGAGCAGAAAAAAAGGTGTTGCGTTTATATTTTTGTTGAGTGTATGTAAGATTTGAGTTATAGTGACATCCTGTGGTCAGATCTGGTTACTGCAATTTCAGTTTCTGTGGGTTGCTAGATAGTGGAAGGAAACTAAATGTTTTAACAACCATGAAATACTATCTGTGTTTTCACAATTATTGAAGTATTAAAAAAAAACAATATACTATACCATCCCAGGTTTATTTCTATAACACATTTTGAAATAGCATGACAGCTGACCAAAGTGATGAACAAAGATACAAGGTACAACAATGATAAAAAAAAAATATTAAAATGCAAATGCTAGCATATCCTTTGCGATGCTTGTTCAGACACCCCAAGATGTGCTGGTGAAGGGTCTCAGTGATGCTAAAATGGTGATTATATGATGGCTGATGCAGCTTGTTTTTGCTGCTGTATAAAAATATAAAATCGTTCATAACTGATAAACGTGATATAAAGGCAACATTTACCTTAGCAGTAACTAGAATTTGAAGATGGGTAGACAATTCACTAAAACACTGGATATTAAATATCCTGTTTGTTCTTTCCAGAGTAGTAATAAACTGATAATTCTCATTTTAATGTGCTATTTTTTATTTGCGGCAATAAAATTATTATAATAAAGCTACAGAATGAACGGTGGGCGCTAGGAGACACAAAAGGAGAACCTAGAGAGGGATGGAGAACACAGGGAGACACGAGGGGAGACGCAGACGCAGACCATGACAACTTTAACCGCATCTAATACTGTATTACGGTGTGAGCGCAACAGCAACAACTTAAGATCGATGTTTGAGCAGCGTGAGAGGTCGGGTGTTTTCATCTGAACCCTTAAAATCTCGAGCAGGCTACGCTGCACAATTGACGTGTTAGCGCGCGGCGCTAACAACTTAGCGATGTGACATGTCTCGAAGAAAGCGTAAAAACACGTTGGACACTTCTTTTGAAGCTGAAAAATAAAACTTCTTCTTAAGCAGAGCACGACTTCGCCTCGTTCACTTTCTGCCGAGCCGGACTGAGCTCGATAACCTTGACCCATTGCTAGTTTGCATAGCCACTGGGTCACTGGAGCTGCCCCGTGACTGCCTGATGGAAAATCAGCAGGTTTCATCAGACTCGTAAAGTTTATTTTTTTTGCTGGGGACCCCCTGTAGTTTACCGCTCCGTCCCGCAGTCTTCCCCTATTAAAATTTAAAAGGATTCTGTAAATTCATGTATCAATAGAAAAAATCTCTGCCTTTGCTACCTGCAGTAAATGTAGGGAAGACTGACTTGTTTTCCAATTTCCAAATAATAAATAAGAGGTGCATTCATCTGTGTATCTCCTTTGATCCGCATGAGTGATATTTTCAGCACCTGAACAATGAAGCAAAGAACTGATTCCCGAGTTTGTTAGTAATTTTATTTATTAGGTGCATCTGACCTGTTCTATTTTTCTCTGAAATGAGATCAAATCACTGCTATGGGTTGTCTCCTCTCTGCCCTAGAAAATTTACTTTATTATAATGTTCACTGTAATGCATCTTGATGTTCTTAACAAATATATTAAATCAAAGATATTGGTCAATAATGCCAAATATGTATATTTGTGTTTCAGTCATTTTTATACTGGCTTAAAAATACTTCATTAAGTCTACTAAGCAGGGGTGTTGAATGTTTCTAATAGGGCCAGCCCAGTAATGATCTTGGACCAAAATAAAGAGGGGCAAAAGGAGATGTTTTTCCAGACGCAGAGAAAAATTAAATGCCAAGCACCCCCCGCGCCCGCGCTCAACCTTAATTCTGTCTTTTCCTTTTAGCTAAAAATTATAATTTTATCTGTGTTTGTGTTTAATTAGTGTTCTCTTGTTTGTTGTCGTTGTTGTTTTTGTTGTGCCATTTCATGCTAATTGTAAAGCACATTGAATTGCCCTATGTTTGAAACATGCTATATAGATAAAGCTACCTTGCCGTGCCTTTTTATTTTGGTTTTAGTAATTTAGTTTTGTATATTGATTTTAATGTGAATAAATGAAAAAAAAACCTTGGATTTGATAGTAGAGTATGAGTTTATTGCTAAGTGTTACAGTCTTGCGATTTATCTACTCCACTCTAAGATTGGATGTCATTGTGTGAAGTAAAGTTTGTGTCAGAAATTTAAAACTGCCAAGAACTTCTAAAAAAATGTATTTGTTTTGTCTTTGCCAGGATGTCTGGGGCAAGAATTGTGGGTCACATGGTGCACAACCTGAAAGCTGGTCAGTATGGACTTGCAGGGATCTGTAACGGAGGAGGCGGAGCCTCTTCTATTGTCATCCAGAAGTTGTGAAACCATCAGAGATGCCTGTGTGACTGGTCTTTTGCTCCTCATGAACACATCTGATTTAGTGTTTGTTACACAGTGGCCCAGTGGGACTCCTAATGACAAGACTCCAGAGCTTCATACACTCCTTTATTATGACAGAGTCACTGATGAATGTTCAACTCTAAATCGAATAAATAGCTATTTTGAATGTGTTGTGGTTTTTATTCCAACTGTGTGACGACAGTTTGACCTAGAAGAAATCTAAAGTGGTTGCTTGTGTGATGTGTGAAGTGCCTCTAAACACTGCCTTTAACGAAGATTTTACACAGGTGCAGTGTGTGTTTAGTTTTTATTATTGTAACGAGGATTCTGGGTGTAAATTTACAGTCAAATTCGAACTAAAATACTGAACACACTGCAGCTCTAAGCATCTCATTACCAGGATGCAAAAATGATTTATTTATGTTCTTTTAGAAAGGCTTGAACATGTTTTAGGATCAAAGGAACAGCGCTAGGCTGGTTTAAATCCTGCCTGTCTGATAGATTTCATTTTGTATATGTTCATGACAAATCTTCATACTCCAGGGTTACTTGTGGAGTACCACAGGGTTCAGTTGGACCAATTATTTTTACTATATACAGTGGGGCAAAGTGATCCTATATATGGTTGATATTATATTATCAGTTGTAAATTCAGGCCAACCGCGACTGCCTGAATTTTTTCAAGCTGCATCAGTTTTGGACCAGAGGCTGCTGCAGCGTGAAGCACATGGACATTCAGATGTTCTTGATCCGGTAACGGTTATACAGACTTAATTTGGGTTTATCTAGATATAGTATAGGTCAAATGGCCCATTCCATGTCTGCTTCAGATTTACTTATCTGCATGGCCTTCTCAGGATGAAATCAAGAGCTGCAGGAATATGTTAATCACTCATTCATTTAGATCAGGTGTGACAGCAGGGAAACATCTAAAACCTGTAGGACGGGGGTGCTGAGGACCAGGATTAAGACACACGGTGAAGGATAAACTAGAGCAGTGCTGCAGCTGCTACTGGGAGAGGACATGATGCCTCAGTCACACCAAATGCAGAGTGGATGCAATCCAGTTTCAGTCCAATCAGAGCATTTATACCAGCTCTGGTGCAGATCGGAATGCAGAACTCCAGAAGGTCTTTACATGGAGTCTGTTTTTTCTGGACCCTGCATGAGGATTGTTGAAGAATTCATCTCAGAAGTTAGACAAGGTTTAGTGTTGAGGATAATAATGACATAATTTTCATTTAATAATCCGTTTTATGTTCTCCTTGTAGGGGAATCATCAACACATTTACTAAGTGGGTGTAATCGAGGTATGAGAAAACGGCTCAGCGGGTCACGAGTCAAAGAATGTTGGGAACCCCTGGTGTAGACAATGATTGCTTGTGTCTGTTGTTTGTTGGTTTCAGGACTTCAGATGGTTCTTTTTATTAAAAATACTTCTATTTTCTGTGTTATTGCATGTTCTCGAGCTGGGTCAGTAATGGCCAAATGACGATTTATGAAGCAATGAGGTGTTTCAGCCTGTTGCTTTGCCCAAAGGTTCTTTACTGGTAGCGTCATTCAATCAGCTTTTTATAGTGGCACCTGCTGGTGGAGTTGACACTTGACAGCAAGTCATCCTAATGAAGTTCTGTCTAACCTGTACAACAACAGGGAGCCTAATTCACACCCATTTACTTCCAGACCATGGGTTTGTTGAAGATCAAAAAGATGCATGCATGTCAGTGGAGCTATAAAAGCTATTTTCTAATCCCTTTTGTTATGTGCCATGGATTTCACATGTCGGTGAATTTTAAAGACACGTCCTGATTCCATGAAAACTTTTATTTTTGAACAGCGGCAAAAGTTATTTTAGGTATTGTGTAAAAATACATCCAAGACTACAAATACACAAATCCAAAACCAGACACGGAGAAGAGCAGAGAAAAAAAATGAATGTAAGTTCAGAGAGCTTTGAATCCTTCACTCAGGAGGAAAGAACCATGAATCTGGCAATATGGTATGTGGCAGCTATGCTAGGGCAGAGGAGAGTCAGTGATGATGTCATTTATATGTACCAACCGTCCGGTTTGTAGTCATGTTGAACTACAAATTGTTATATTATCGGATTATATATTGGATACACACACACACACACACATGCATGAGCACATCCCCGTTAGAGCCTCATTAGAACTTATCCAATATAATGTCATATAATTATCAGTCTGATTAAAGGTCAGTTCATTTCATATCACTGTCATAAAAGCTTTGGTTTATCAATTTTGCTAATTTCATGCATGAAACTATAAATGTTTGGTTTATATTGCTACTGTATAAACTGGATGACTTTTAATATAATAAACTCACAAAATGTAACTAAAAGCCTGATCATTTCTAGCGATCTTGAGAATACTCAGCGCATCTGGAAAGGCCTCATCCTTCTGGTAATTTTGTGGTGTTAAAATTAGACTGATTTAAATTTGAACAGATCTGAATTTTCCAGTTTTTATCAAAGCTGGTGGTGCCCCTGATCAAAAATAAAACGAGGTAAATGGGTAAGTAGAATCCAAAAGCGTTGGGTTGTATACTTCTCATCTGGTAACTTTTGCTAGATAAATTGGTGCCCCATGTAGGGCCAGTTTGACGCTGTGATGCTAGATCTGCTGGAGCTCTAACTGGGACCTGTTGAATGGAGAACAGGAGACTGTGTGTCATGCTGTTCAGTGGTTCTGTGAAGAGTTTGTGTTTGGCTCAAAACCAAAGTTTCATTCGTGGCTGTAATGTTGAGAAATTATTGGATTAAAGAACATTTTCTTCTCTAGTGTTGTGCGTTAAAGGTAGTATTATTTGTCATTATTTTTGACAAAACGGAAGTTGCTGCTTTACACCATGAACTTCCAAGATAAACCAGAGGGGCTTTGCTGTGCTCTGGTGGACGACTTCCCTCACTGCATGTGATGCAAGTTTTGTTTCTGTGATTTAGCAAAATTGAATAATAATTTTAAAGTAAGTAAGTAAGTAAAAGTTTATTTATATAGCGCCTTTCACAGATATACAGATATATTACAGATATATTAAAGATAAATGCTTGTTTGTCATTTTGAGATGTTGCATGTAAGCTAAATAACTTTCTCATGTTAAGTTTTTTGGGAACTACTAAGATCATTTAATCTTTGCATTTAAGAGTCAATTCTTGGAAAAAATTAAAAGAATTTTTTTAACGAACAAGTCACCGGGAATTAAAACTGAGTTGGGTTTACTCTAAAGAAGAGAAAAATAAGTTTGGAAGCTAAGAAAATATTTTAACCGCATAAGAAACTGAAACTGTTGATGTAACAATAAGAAGTGGTTAATAAATTTAATTTGTCTTAGATTTTTATTACAGGAAAAGAAAAAAGTTTCTACAGTCAAACTTTTGACTTAACGTTGTAAATATGGCAGAAAAATCAGTGAAACCTATCGCCCCTGAGGCCGTGGAGCCAGATTCTTTCGATGATCTGGATACAGTTCTTTGGGAACGTACGCAGAACCACATTCCAGAGTACTTAGATGAAGTTCAGCAAATGGATTCTGAGAAGTTGCAGTCTGCTGTGACAGATTTAATTGATACAGGACTGGCTCAGACAGCCGGATATCAATCAGCAGTTAAAACCATCAGCAGCCTAGCAGCCGTGCTCTCAAAGATTCCAGTTAGCCCATAAGCTCAGGTAAGGTCGGTCAGGCTTCTGAGCAACAACAAAAAAACTATCTCAAAAGATTGAGCAGCTTCGTGAGGAGACGGCTCGCTACAAACGTAACCTTGCAGAGGTTCAAGAAGATCTTGAACGTGCTACGAGTGACTTAGCTAAAACCTCCACTCAACTGTATAACATCATTAAAGAAAAACAGAGAAACAAATTACTTCTGGATGACCTTGTGAAACTAACGCGGACAATCCAGGCTAAAAATGAAAGCCATTTAAAAATGTTAGAGGTGCTATACGATGACATTTATGATTTACAATCCCAGCTTTGTGAATCGGAGGCCAAAAATCGTCTAAATGAAGGGTTCCAATATTTTCAATCTCAGTCTATTCCTCAAGAAGACAAAACTTTCATGGATCTTCCAGCGCTTACAGGGGGTGCTGCTGCACGACGGATGGTAGAGCGTGATCCGGATAAGGTAAGGGAAGAATTAACAGGCACTGCAGCATATCCTCCTGCATGAGGGTCACCTCCTTTCTTGAACCCCAGGTCATGTGATCACATAATCCTAGACGGACCCACAAAAAAGATTTAAATTGTTCTCCATCTGGGTGTTCAGATAGACACAACTTATAATGTTTTATGGCCATTGACCTCACTGGCCGGCCACTCACCCATCGCCGACCAGCTTAGATCAGGGCAGATCATCCCAGAAGCAGGACAGGCTGCAGTTAATCAGCATACTACCATGCAAGCTTACATTAAAAACTTGCGGGTGGTAACCCACATTATGGCTGGATAAAGTATGTCACATTCATTAAGTGAGTGTGTGTGTGTGTGTGCGCGCGCGTGCGTGTGTGCGAGCGTGCGTGCATGTGTGTGTGTGTGTGTGTGTGTGTGTGTGTAGTGAGGCATTTGCTATAGCCAATGTGAAGGACCCCACTCCTCCCTTGTTGACTGTTTTCCTTTGTTTACTTTTACAGGCTGAGAGCTGCTGGTGGTGGTGGCCACGTCGGGGTGACAGTTCCAGTTGGGTTGCTGTGTTTGCATTTTCTGAGTTCTTCACTTTACGCCTGATCGGTTGCACGAGTGTCTGGGGTGAACTTTGCTTTTGTCTTTCTTTAGTTTGAAGTTCCGTCTCCCCGTAGGGTGTCAGCCCCACCTCAGTGGTCTCAGCCTGCCCTCTTTTTATAATTATTTTCTTGCCACTTCTGCCTCTTAATAAGTAGTTTTAGCCTTTTTAATAGTTTTTAGTATTTGTCTGTGAATAAACTTGTTCCCAGTCTCGAGCTCCTTTTTCACAAGAGTGGACCTATGTCTCTTAAAATTTGTCCTTGGGTATCAAGGTGGCATTGTTGCTGTTTTTTTTTTTTTGTCAACACAGAAACACCTGTCCCCTGCCCCCCGCTCCAGTTTCGGAGGGACACGTCATAGATTGGTTATGGCCTAGCGTGGCACTAGAGCCGTGTGGATCCCTAGCTCCTTGCACCGCTTGCTACAA